GTTAGAATGACGACTGCAAAATGACAGCAACAAGTGAATAAGAAGAATCAGATGGACACCATTGCTTTGTGCAACATCATGATCTTCATAGACCTGTATGCTAAAGACCCAAAAAGTGTGGTTGACTCTCAATTGCCCTCTGAAATGGCCTAGCAAAACACGCAGTTGTAAAAATCACTACAGAGCCTCAAACAAATGAAACCAAACTGGCATTGACCTAGCACCAGAAAAGAAAACGGCAGAAGCAGCCCTATCAACCTTGCAAAGTCCTCCTCACTAACATCTGGGGTCTAGTGCCAAAATTGGGAGAGCTGTCTCACAGACTAGTCTAACTGCCTGACATACACATACTCAGAGAATCATACCTTACAGACAATCACCATCCCTGGATATGTACTGTGCCACTGGCAGGATAGACCAAGCAGAGGTGACGGCACAGTGGTATACACAGTCAGAAGGGTGATGCTCTAGGAGTCCTCAACATGGAGTCCGGACCCCATGAAGTCCCATAGCTACAGGTTAAACATGGGCAAGGACACCTCCTGCTGATTACCACATACCGAGCTCCCTCAGCTGATGAACCAGTACTCCTCAATGTTAAACAACGCTTAGAGGAAGCACTGAGGATGGCAAGGGTACAAAATGCACTCTGGGTGGAGTGGCTCAGCAGCAGTACTACTGATTGAGCCGGTTGGGTCCTAAAGGCCATAGCTGCTAGACTGGGTCTGCGGCAGGTGGTGAGGGAACCAAAAAGATGGAAAAACACATTTGACCTCATCCTTACTAATCTGCCAGCTGCAGTTGCATCAGTCCATGACAGTATCGGTAAGAGTGACCATCACACAGTCCTTGTGGAGATAAAGTCTTGCCTTCACATTGAGAGCAACTTCCATCGTGTTGTGTGCACTATCACCGTGTTAAATAGGACAGACTTTGCACACATCTAGCAACTCAAGGCTGGGCATGTATGAGGCACTGTGGGCCATCAACAGCAGTAGAATTGTATTCCAGCACAATCTGTAACCTCATGGTCAAGCATATCCCCCACTCAACTATTACCATCAAGCCAGGAGATCAACCCTGCTTCAATGGAGAGTGCAGCAGGCCATACCAGGAACAGCACCAGGCATACCTGAAGATGAGGTATCAACCTGGTGACGCCACCAAACAGGAATACCTGCACCTCAGACAGCAAAAGCAGCAAGTGATAGACAGAGCTAAACGATCCCACAACCAATGGATCAGCTCTAAGCTCTGTAGTCCTGCCACAACCAGCTGCTCCCCTAGCCAAGCTGTTCCAGTACAGTGACAAAACTGGTATCTACCCAGCACTGTGGAAAATTGCCCAAGTATGTCCTGTACACAAAAAGCAGGACAAATCCAACCCAGCCAAGTACCACCCCATCAGTCTATACTCAATCATCAGTAAAGTGATGGAAGGTGTCATCAACAGTGCTATCAAGCAGCACCAGCTCAGCAATAACCTGCTCAGTGACGCCCAGTTTGGGTTCCACCAGGGCCACTCAGCTCCTGACCTCATTGCAGCCTTGGTTCAAACAGGGACAAAAGAGCTGAATTCCAGAGGTAAGGTGAGAGTGACAGCCCTTGATATCAAGGCTGCATTCGATTGAGTGTGGCACAAGGAGCCCAAGCAAAACTGGAATCAATGGGTATCATGGGGCAAACTCTCAGGTGGTTGGAGTCATAACTGACACATAGTGAGATGGTCGTGGTTGTTGGAGGTCAATCGTCTCAGCTCCAGGACATAAATGCAGGAGTTGCTCAGGGTAGTGTCCTAGGCCCAACCATCTTCAGCTGCTTCATGAATGACCTTCCCTCTATCGTAAGATCAGAAGTGGGGATGTTCGTCGATGATTGCACAATGTTCAACACCATTCATGACTCCTCAGATACTGAAGCAGTCCATGTTCAAATGTAACAAGATCTGGACAATATCCAGGCTTGGGCTGGCAAGTGGCAAGTGACATTCGCACCACACAAATGCCAGGCTATGATCATTACCAATAAGAGACAATTTAACTACCGTCCCTTGACATTCAGTTGTGTTACCATCACTAAATCCCCTACTATCAACATCCTGGGTGTTATCATTGACCAGAAACTCAACTGGGCTCACCATATAAACACAGTGGCTCCAAGAGCAGGCCAGGAGTTAGGAATACTGCGATGGGTAACTCACTTCTTGACTCTTCAAAGCCTTAGAGAATACAGGCCCAGTTTGCCCAAACATTCGTCATGAGAGAGTTTTGTCATCCCGTGAGCAAACCGGGTGAACATTCATAGCATGTCCTCTGTGGAAATAATATATTTCCTGAGATACAAAGGTCAAAACTGCCATGTATACCAGGTACAGTGTCACCTTATCGTTTACAACTGTAGTGAAGCAAGACTTCACTACTTCTATACTCAAATCCTCTGGCGATAAAGGCCAATATTCCATTAGGCCTCCTCATAGTTTGTTGCACCTGCATTTAGCCTGCAGTGGCTTATTGCCAAAGTCACCCAAGTCCCTTTGCAAATCTACACTTTCCAACCTCTCACCATTTAAGAAATACCTTGCACATCTGTTCCACCTATCAAAGTGGATAACCTACACTTTTCTACATTATATTTGACCTGCCATATTCTTATCTGTCTTCCTGGTAACATTTCACATCTGCCTCACAACATACACTCCTGCTTGAATCATTGGCAAATTTAGAAAATACTATACTTGACCAAATCATTGTTTTATATTTTTCTGTATCTTGACTTCTTGTATGCTTCACTTACACTGATTTCAGCCAGAGTATGTCCTATGTATACTGTCAGACCTCTTCCCCGAAGTTAGAACATAGAACATTACAGCGCAGTACAGGCCCTTCGGCCCTCGATGTTGCGCTGACCTGTGAAACCAATCTGAAGCCCACCTAACCTAAACTATTCCATTATCATCCATATGTTTATCCAATGACCATTTAAATGCCCTTAAAGTGGGCGAGTCTACTATTTTTGCAGGCAGGGCATTCCACGCCCTTACTACTCTCTGAGTAAAGATATAGTAAAGTAATCATATAATGCATGCACAGCTGATAATACAAAAAAACTTAATTAAGCAGATAAATATTCAGGTCCAAAAATTGGTCTGAGATGGTACATTGTATGAGAGTCACAATTTTTAACTTGGTCAAGCTTTCAAATGTGGAGAAAAATAAACCTAATTTTAGTAGTCTGAACAGGATTTTTTTTCCACAATACAGAATCTATTTAAAATTTTTCCATCAATTATTAATGAGGTCTAGATCCTCCAACTATCTGGAATGAAATATTTACATGATCCGTTCCATGTCAGAATGGTTGTTAACTTGAAGCCTCATTGACCAGCTGAACTTTATGCAGCATTTTGCTGATCATGGCACAATTTCTTTTACAAGTCCATTGTGGAAGGTGCTTTCTGCTGGGGCATTCTTGACTTGACCATGATATTCATCTTCTCACATCTGTCTCACAACTTGC